TCTGAAAGCAGCAGTGTTTGAGCTGTGTGGGTGTGAATGGGATTTTCTCCATGATGTTGTGGGAATATAAAGTGAAAATGAGTCCACTGACAACATGTCTGTTCATAACGGAGCCTGACTAATAACATTGACATGGTTTCTTTAATTAGCCCGTATCATCAATATAACCAAAGTCAAATGTAATTTCTGACCATTAGGAAGAGTTTAAAACCACAACCTTCACTAAGGAGCAAAAATTAGTCTTCAAACGTTAAAGAAATATTAATGTAAAATATATACAATTATCAATATTGACTGCCAGTGCTTGTCTTGATATAATTATTGTCGAGCTCTTCTGTATATCATAATCAAATCAATCAAATATCTACATTTTTGAGAGTATGAGTCAAATTTCCCCAATGTTCAGCCTCAGACCACATCAGTGTGTGCACGCAGAGAGACGTGAGAGTGCGTCTGTGCCGAAGGCAAAGTTACGGCTCGAGCAACCTTTGAAGTGCCTGGTTCTTCATACGTGAGGATGTAAAGTCATTGTTTCTGCAGCGTTTGAAGTCGTCACTCTCTTTCTGCTCCTGCATCTCTCTGTATTTGCAGCGTGTCCATGTGCACGGCTCATCTGCAAACATATGCATATTTGTGTGTGCAAATTATAGAGATGAGGAGGAGACAGAAAAGAGGGAGAAGGTGATAGACGGGGAAATCGAGGGAGAGAGAGAGACGGCGTTGATTTTGTATTCTCTCTCCGCAGAAATTTAATTGGTCCTCTGAGAGTTTCCACACAATTTGCACTATAATTTCTGTATGGTTGAGCTGATCTCACCTGTGACACCGCACACACACACACACACACAAATCTTATCCATACCTGCACACCTGCTCGAGACATTAGAATATAAAGCAGAATATTCATGCCCTGCAGCATCACGGAGGATGAATTGTCTCCATGACAGCGAGGGTTTAAACATCAAACGACAGAACCAAAGAAAAGTATTTGTGTGTGTGTGTGCGTGTGTGTGTGTGTGTGTGTGTGTGTGTGTGTGTGTGTTTCTCCAGCATGTCTCTTAAGCAGCAGGTATCTCTTCTGCTTCTTCCACACAACAGGTTATGAAGCATTTCTACTTCCTGTCTGCTGTTATCAGTTCTCATAGCGAATGCATCTCACCTCCATATTGGTTCCCTTTTTGATTTCCTGTCAAGTTATTGCTGTTGTCGTGTTTCTCTGTCTTGGCTGAAAAAAACCCACCATACATCATGAGGTGGCATGAATTTCAACTCAGCTTCTGGGTTAGGCCTTCTTCAAACTCTCCTTAAAAATAATGGAAATAGAAAAAGGAAAAAGGATGCGGGGCTACAAAGGTTTTCTCAGTTTCTTGGCTCCTTTTCCTTTGAAGACAATGCTCTGCTTTGATGTAGCCTCCACTTTGCTGCAACTTGATGCCAGCTGGAATATCCGTGAAACGGCAGCAAATGAAGGCTTTAGCTCTGAATGGCTGAATGAGAAGTTTGCATTCAAAATGAGTGCAAGACATTCCAGGTTCTCTTTTGAACTGATTAAAAAAAGGCACTTTTGAAGAGTTGGGGAAGAATTCCGCTCTTGTACGATGTGCAACAACATTTTTAAGTTTATTGAGGTTATGTTTTTGCAAATGTAGAACTTCATTAGTCTCCACCCTGATGTTTTGTAAAGCATGAATCTTCAGCCTGTTAAGCTTCATTGACAACGCAAATCAATTTTCTATTTCTAGCTTTAGAGAAGTTTTGCTTCCCACCACAGTGACGTGTGAAGAATTTAACTTTTACACAAATCTCATTTACTCATTGCCATTCTAGTTCTGATATGAATCAAACTGATATGAATCAAACTGATGTTGCTTCCTTCTGAAATAATTTTGTAGACAGATAAAACCTAAACAGCTTGTTCCCAAGTTACATCTTGTCGTAAACGCAGTTGTGAGCGTGCTGTGCTGCAGTAAAGGTGAGGCGTATCTGTCAGGCTGTAACTGAAGAAGGGTTCAAACAGAGGGCAGCGTTGCTCTGCCTGCTGGGAGGCCTTGCATGATGTTTGACCTCTTTACTTTTCAGTGCTTTAATTAAAAAAGTGTTTGGACCACAGCAAGGGTGAAGGAGCAGGGGGGAGAGAAAGTAGTTGTTCAAGGATAAAGTCACAAATCTCAGATGCAAAGTAAGACTTTAGGTTTTTGTCGCGTGATGTTCAGAAAGACGCAAAGTTAAAGAACAACACATTAACCTTTAATGGTAGTTGCACACACACACGCACACACACACACACACACGCACACACACACACACACACACGCACACGCACACACACACACACACACACGGAGTTGACTTCACGTTGCTGCAGCTCCTGAGGTTAATTAGACAGGACGTCGTCTGCATATTTGACAAATCCACTAAGAGTCTGCATTCCTGCTGCAGCACCTCTTCTCCATTATCTAATCTCAAGTCGCCTTCTAATTCTATTTCAACTCTGCTGGAAACAACGAGAGAAGTGACACGGCTGAATTTGTAGGTGGAACATGGTGGAGCAGGACATAACAGCTGTGATATGAAAACAGGTCTTTCTCTAGAGAATCACCTAAAGTTCACGTTGTTGTTGTTGTTGTTGGTCCTAAATGTAATAATTCATAAAATGCTTGCTCAGTGTTAGAGCCACCTCCGCCCGCTGCTGGTGTCGGTGCAAACACGTACATAAGCATGCACTCTACGACATGGGAAAGGTGTTGTGCTTACAACACCTTGTTCAGCTCACAGTAAGGCTCACACACTGAGAGCAGCGACCACACAGTCCCTCACAAAATGGCCACATATGTTTGTTTGTGCAGGGTTTTTTTATGAAGGTTGTGTGACTGCTGTGGCTGTGCATTAATAAGCTGCGTTTGTTGCCGTGTAGGAAAGGTGGATTGTGTTTGGGGTTGTGCAGAGTGTGAAAGAATCTTTGTCTGGTGAGTTTTTATGAATCTGTGTGCAGATGTTTGAAGGCTAATGTGTTTATATGTGTTGGTAAATGACTATAAGATATTGAAAGGGGTGTGTGGAATAATTTTAATGAATTACAAGTAAATTACTAATGGAACTGTTAAATATTTCAATGGTGGTGGCTTGTGGGAATGTTTTAATCATCTCTATCTCCGAAAAAATAAAGTTTGAATGAATCAGACATGACGAAGTTAATTCAAATGCTTGAAGTCAGACAAGGTTGACACATTCGTCTGTGACGCCTCCTCTGCTGCCTCACTCTCAACAGTTACTCTCTGGTTTGCATGAACAATAAAGCCAAGTGTATCACTTCGTTCTTATATATGAAAAATAATATTCATGGTGAATGTTAGGGGATCAAATGTGCTCACAGTAGAAACATAGAGACGTTAACTTTGCTCCTAGTTGTCTTATTTTTTGCCTCTGTGGCATTTTGTCCATTGACTCTCCCTTCAGCCTGCTAACAGCCACTCCTACTGGTTGTATAGGTCAGCGCTGAAAGGGGTCAGCAGAACGATCGATACACACACACACACACACACACACACACTTGTTCAGACGACCTAATAGAAGCTCGTGCCATGTTTCTCCGTCTGTGCTCTCCAGCCCTCTGACCTGTGTGTAACATTGTGTGTGTGTGTGTTTTTACTCTTCTGTATCTTATTTGTTGTTGATGTGAGCGTGCTCCACATTTTAGGTCAAGAAATCCAGATTATTGGATATTTTTGTACTAAAATACAGAAATAAAATAGTTTTGCGTCCTTCCCCTGTGCAGTTGTGTGTTGCTAGAAAGATATATTGTGGTAATCAAATAAATGTAGGTGCAATATTAAGAATGCACTACCTAAAATACAAAGATATTCATTGAAAACCTGTCTCACATCATATTCAGTTATCTGTCAGCTCGACTTATTTAAAGTATTTCATTAACAGACACTGTGAGACACATTTGCATTTGAGCCTGTGCTCTTCCTGTCAAAAGCTACACTATGGAGTCGCCTTAAATAAAAAAAAGGTGATGTAGTCACTTCTAGAAGTTACATGATTCAGATTTTCAGCCCAGAGCTGCTCCGACTGGAATCTACCTAATTAGTGTGTCTCTCTGACGGCCGTGCTGGAGTTAATGTGAAATAGAGAGGTCATATAATTATAGCAGTGGGAAAACCCTGGGCTGTATGAGTGTGATATAGTGTGTGTGTATGGGAGAGTGTGTTGTAATATGCTGGGTATGCCCCCAGGCTGCGTGTATCTGGTGATCCTTATGAGGTTCTGTTTTGTGTGGCTTTGTTTGCATGCTCAGAAGAACAAGTGTTGACCTCACCCGTTTTATTTATTTGCCAGAATGATGAAAAAGGATTTAAACTTCTCTGGCTGCAGTCCCAAAATGAGAAAATCTCTTGCCTCAGGACCCAAATACAATAAAGTAAAAAATAATAAATAAATACAATTCTGCTTTGTGAAGAAACGACTAAAGAAGACAAAAAAAAAAAAAAAAAAAAAAAAGCAAAAGGGGGTCCTTAAAGAGGAAAATTAAAAACAAACAAGAAGGAAAACTATGGCAACAATAAATCTTAATCTTCATAATCTATTGCAGGAAACATCACTTTATATTTGCATCAAATCTCAAGTGTTATTTTTCTGTTTATTAGTACACAAGTGAGATAATTCAACACTGAAGTATTTGTGAAATTAACCTTCAGTGTGTAAAGTTTAGGTGAAAAGGAAGAAACTGAATATAAAATAACTCTTGTGATGTTTTCAAAAGTGTGTTTCTTTGGATACTTTGCACTCAGTAGCTCAAACTGAGAGGTATTCAGCTGCAATACGAAACTTCACCACTAGATGTCACTGTATTCTACACACTGAACCTTTAAACTCAGAAAAACCTCAAACCCCCCCTTCACCTGTCCAACACTTGGTACCTTCCACCAGGACCTGGATCCTGATTGGTTAAGTGTGGTTTGTCACTTCCTTTCTGTAAGTCAGAGCAGGTGGCAACCTCCAACAAACTAATGGAATATAAAATGTAAAATGTTCATGTTTGTGAAGCAAAGAAACAAACTGTGTGAAACTTTACCAGAAGAGCCTCACAAACAAAATGTAACTTTACATGGAAACCAGTGAGTTATTAACCAGCATGTTACCAAACATCTGGCACCAAGGGAGGAGGTGTGTGTGTTTGTTTGTTTGGTTGTTTGTGTGTTATTGTGTGTGTGAGACACTTATTTAATTCTGTGTAATTCTGTGTTTCTTCACAGCATGTGGAAGGGCCTGAATGTGAACTGCACAGACAGCTCAGGATACACACCTTTACATCACGCTTCACTCAATGGACACAGGTAAGACTGCACACACAGTGTTTGTTAAGAGAAATGCATGTGTTCGGTTATAGAGCAAAACAAATGGTTATGCTGTGACTTGGATGTAGTCTTAAGTTATAATATGTAGAAGATCATTTGAAAGATGACTCTAATATCAAAGTTATTATAATTTGATCTTATTTTTGTTTCTGATGTCAGGTGAAGACCAAATGATTTTTCATGAGGACAACAGCTGTACATAGTCTAGCTCTCTCCATTATGTCTCTCAGTTCCTATGATTTTGTGCTGTTGGTTGATTTCAATATTGAATATTGACTATTTCAGGTTGTTCAGATGTTTGTGGAATTATTAGTTACATGATTCCTGCCAGTATTGCACTTAACCTAAAGCTAGACAGCAAAACTAGCTAAAAACACAACCCTCAAAAATAGCATTCCTGCAGTTGATTGACTTTGTGCCTTAATGTTTGAGTTTTTGTGACTATAGCTCTTTGGAACCCCAGTGTGACTCAGCTGTAGACCTGACCACTGTCACAGTTTTCTGGAGCTAAAGGATTAGTCCTGTGTTTTGGTGGCAATTATGTGGCATTCCTCTGTCAGATCGACTGGAGAGGAGAGAGGAGGAGACGCGGGAGGGAGGCAGAGCTGCAGCCTCAGAGTGAAAATTAGGCCGCCGACAAAAAAAGCTGCAGAGAAGTGATTTAGCGTTGAGGTGGGAAAGTAAAAAGAGAACCGGCAATTAAGATAAAGGAGGAAGTGCAGTATTCAGAGATTCGTTATTCAGGCTGAATTTGAATTGTTTTAAAGATTATTTATGTGCAGTGAAGTTTTCACCACATTAAAAATTTGAATATTCTCATGTCTGACCCTGAGATCCTCCCTGTGCTGTTTAACTGCTGCTTAAAACCTGAGTGAATTTATACGAGAATATAATAAATGAGCGGAATTAACAAAGCAGTTTTGTTAAGCGTCCTCTGGGCTGCGTTCACCCTCACCCCTGTTCCCGGGAGAGGATCTGCCCTCCCTCTGCTTCTCCTGCTGACATTTTCCAATGCAAATGAAGCACTTCACCTTTCCTCTTCCGACAGAGGTGACAACTTCAGCTGGAGGCTCGCTCGTATGAAAAGCTGACATTACTATTGAGCAGCTGCTAAATGAGTTTCAAGCACAAACCGCAGCTCTGTGATTTACCACCTCATCTATTTGTGTAATGGAGATCACTTCGTACTCTGCAATTTCCCTGTGGGATTAATTAAGTACCTTGTTTGTCCATCTGTCTGTTTGTTCGCCTAACGCTCATCTACCTGTTTGTCTGTAAATAATATGGAGACAGTTTCAAAGCCTTATTTCCTCCATCTTATAACCTGGAAAATAAACTGATCAGGTATTTTTAAATCCCTCGATGAAAAGAACCAGGTCTCTGAGGACTTGTTGCTGCTCAGCTTCAAAAAAAAAAAAAATGAATCAGATCATTTGTTTTTTCTCGCTCAGAGCTTTAAAGAGTTTTTTTGCACAATATGAACGTTTTAACTGTTGCTTGGCAAAAGTTACATAGTGTTGCTTCAAATACAAACACTGATAACAGCAAGGTGTTCACACTTTTATCATTTTATCATAAAAGTTGTGTAGGACTTTATGTTCCAAAGGTAACGTTGCTATATTTGGAACTGGGCGGTGAAAGTGCTGTTCTCAGTGGAAATGTGACTCTGTGATGTGATATTCTATAAAATAAACACAGAGTGACACAGGAGAGGGACACAGGGAGCAAAACTTAAAACATAAGAAAAACACAATCCATACTTGAAATGAAAACTCTCTCATATAAAAGAGGACTAAAAACACAAGAGACGTGACACTTTGTGGTCATCTCTGCCTCTCTCCATTCATTCTCTCCAGTCTATTGATCTGTGTCTGTCTCCCTCTCTTTCTCTCAGGGACGTGGTTCTGAAGCTGCTTCAGTTTGAGGCGTCCACAAATGTGGCGGACAGCAAAGGCTGCTTCCCGCTGCACTTGGCCGCCTGGAGGGGAGACGATGATATCGTCCGAATCCTCATCCACCACGGACCCTCGCCCTGCCGAGTCAACCAACAGGTAAACACTGTTTCCTTATTTCAACACCAACTTAAACTCAAGCTTTTATTATCATATCCATCCACTAAAGTAAGACTATAATTCCCATCGAGAAATGATAAGAGATACAAGGATGCAGGGCTGCGGAGCCGCAACCAAAACATGCTTCAACATGTAAACATAGATTGTTAATCTATATTTACATGTGGATCTCTGAGCTCCCTCTCATATGTTAAATCTTTCAGCTCTGGCCTAAAGAAAAAAACGTTCCGTGTTTCGTAGCTGTTCCAGAAAGAGAAACGTCTCGTCCCATCTGACTAAATGAAGCTTGAGTTCCTCCATTGCACAGTATTTCTCATGGCGTGTAAACCAGCGCTGCCACAAGCCGTCGGTTTTATGGCTCCTGTCCAAAAGAGCAGATCCCGTGGAGTTTCTGCTGATCTCACTCTGATAGTCGGCCGAGCGTTTTCAGCTCCGCGAGCCTTCGGCCTGCCACTGCTGTCATCCCTCATCAGCAAAAATGACCTTCTCCTCCTCCTCCCTCACTCTCTCCCGGTCCGTCCCCGCTCGCAGCATATTGATGATGTCACGGCTCACTGATGCTTTTCAAGACGAGCACGAGGTGTTTAATCAGAAGTGTGGCTGAAATTTGAATGTCTTTTTTAATATTCCCAATCCTGTTGGTGATGCAGTGTTGGACCCCCCAGGTTATTGGATCATTATTTACTTAATAAGCACATTTTGCCAAATCGCTTCCCTCTAAGAGTTGTTGGAGACTAATTGTTTGCCTGGACAAATGGTGTCCCTTGCCCCTGAAATGAAGAGGTTCATCAGCAAATGAACCTGGGTGATTTTCTTTTTTCTTTTTTCTACCCCGTCAATGATTTATCGAGCTGAGCGGGCTGCTGTGCAGGCAGAGTGAACACACTGAGTGGAAGCTGCTGATTGAGAAGCTGCTGTATGTACAGTAGATGCTGACTCTGAAGTCACTGTGTGTGTCACTGTGTGTTTCAGTGTGTGTGTGTGCCCTTCTACTTGAAGCACATAAAAAAAATCTCCCCTCACCTTCTTCAATTTATGGTAAATTGTGCAAAATAAACCCCTCCATGTTTCCTGGTTCTGTTTTATTTAACGATACATTCAGTAAACCCTGGAGAGGGAGATCTCTCTGCTGTTTATGTGAAGGAGGTGAAACTTATTTGCTCGCATGCAGAACTTCCCAGTCAAAGAAAGTTAAGGATTGGACAGTCTGATGATGTTGAGTCAGTCAGAAAGGATGTGTCTTATAAGCTGTGGCTCCCTCACCCAGTTTCTCCTCATCAGTGGATTTCTTATTTGTTGCCGTGCTTCGATGTTCTTGAGAAGATCTTCTTATTTCTCCATCTTTAAACAGAATTTAGCGAAACATCCTGAAATGACCGGTCACTTGTTTGTTTTTATGACGCTGTCCACTGCTCGTTATGAGTCGTCTCTGTCGTCACGTGTTCACGTTGTTCTCAGGGTTGCAGGCATAAATATTAAAGGAAGATTTATGGAATGTTTCTGTGTTCATAATGCATAAGCCGCATATTCCCCCCCCCACTGTCTTGTCTGCAGGAAAAGGCAGCGCTGGCATGCATTAGTCAGCGTGATATACCGAGTCTGGCACACACGCTCACACCCTCACCGAGACTTACAGCAGCAAGCCATCGACTGCACATTACCCCGTCCTCAGTGATGCTTTGCCCACGCTCACCATAACTCGTGTCAGAGGTTGAGTGTGTGTGCATATATCTGTGAATGTGTGTGTGCTTGGTTTTATTGTGCGACTGCAGTGGGGGTGCACTTGTTTTAACACGTGAGAAACATTTATCTTCACCTTTGTGCACGAGGTGAGAAGTGGTGAGTGTGGCGGGGATGCAAGGTAAGCTGTAATGACGGAATGAGCTTAAAGAAAAAGCCAAGAGAGTGACAGAAAGAGAGGTAGAGGAGGTTGTGTATGCGGGCCTGTTCCCCACTGCAGCCAATTGCGGTTAGTGGATGTTATTAGTCGGCGATAAACCAGTTCCAGACACTTTTTAATGCCTGATTGGTCCCAGTAGTTCTCACTCAGCTGCTTTTGTTTGTTGTGGGAGTGTGTGTGTATGAGAGAGGTGAAGGTTGTCTATTCAAATGGTGCGGGCATGTTTATGTGTGCTTTCTGAATGTTTGTGAGACAGTGACTGATCGTGAACAATGGCCTGTTTACCCGAGGATTGCACTCTGCTCGCAGGTTCAGCGATTGTTGTGACGACTGAGGCGTTGTTTGTTTTCATCTCTCTCCGTCTCCCACTCAGACTGACTCAGAAACTGATGCTTCACTAAATCATCTCAATCGCCTCCTGCTGGCTGGCTGCAGTACATGTCAGAAACCTTGCCTCCTCCATGTTAGTGGATGGGACAATTTTCTGTGTCACTCACTAATCACCGAATAGTGCACTATAAAGCACACATATATATTTATGGCGGTGGGAACAGCCTGATCTGTATATATTTAAACAGCAGCACAAAGTGTGGGAAACTCTGTGTGTGGGAGAACAAGCAACCAGAACCTCTGGGCTTCTTCTGCATCTGGACAATTGAAGTGTTATTTGTTTGTGTGAGAATGTGGGTGAATGACCCGGTCACGTATGTCCCCCTGTGCTGCAGATACATGCCAGGAATGTTTTCTTTTCCGTCGACAGAGGATTGGATCATTCCTTTCTCTCTCTCTTCCTCTTATCCTCCTCCCCTTTTAACTCCCATTTGTTGAGAAGAAAGGAGATTAACAGCCAAAGATAAGATTGGAAGGATGGTGAGCATGTGCACTGCAGTTTCTCTGCTTCACATGAGCTGTATATGATTTGAGCACACGTGTAGCAGTTAAATACTTCCGACATGCCTTGGCCCAGGTGCTGCAGGGTTCTGGGAACCTGCGTGAACTAAGGTAAAGGTGAAAGGTCGGGAGGTTGCTCGCCACCTGTGTGCTTCTACAAATGTCTTCCAGTGTTTCTGCTGCTGCGTGTTCACCTCACAGTCGGGGTGGTTCCATGTACTTATGTTGCTACCACACTCGAAAACGAAACCACATGTTTCCTGACGATCTCCATGTGAACGTGGCCTCTCTGAGAACACATGCTACCATCTGAAAGTGCTCTGGGAGAGTCCTAGATCAAACATCACCTACCGCCAAAACACACACACACACACACACACACACACACACTGAGCTGCAGGATGTTTTCTTATGAGTAATCAGCCTGACACTTCCAAATTAAAGTTCAGCAAAAGAAAAGTGATTCATCTCCACACGAGTCAACAAACTACTACACTGAGTAATTATTTGAAACTGAGAGCAGATTGTGTGTGAGTGTGTGTTGTTAATTTAATTGAGGTGTTACATGAACACATAGAAAAACATTCACAGGGTTTTTCTATGAGCTTATTGGCCTGAAAACTGAAATACGATTCCTCCTTAGATTTTAAAACGTACATGGAGGTTAGAGATGATTTTAATATTTGTATTGTGATCAATAAAATAACACTAAAACATTAACAGATAGGATGAAAGCAGAAGGTGAACTGTCAGTATTGCAGTAATAAAAGCTTGTCGTCATTAATCGCTTTAATCTTTATCAAGTAAAAAAACAAATGTTCTCTGGTTCCATCTTTAAAATATGAGGATCTGCTTCCCCTACCATCCCTCCCAGTGTTTCTTCTTTTCCTTCCTACTTTTTCATCTCCTCACTCTCTTATCTTCTCAGCTCTCTCTTGCCTTCACTCCTCTTGGCCATGGGTGCTTCATTCACTTTCCATGTTCACACTCTTAATTAACTGCTCTCTTTACTTATTCCACCTCTTCCCCTTGGATTTCCACCCCCCTACACTCCTTTTCCTATTTCTCATTCTTTATAAAGAGAAGGAAGGGAGGTCCTCACATTCTCACAGAAAACGGACAGTTTCCTGATAATGTTTCCTAAACGGAGCATATTTATAAATACAGGGTAAATAAGATTGGGCCGAGCACAGAACCCTGAGGAACCCTGTGACATCCCAGATGACTAATTGTTAATTTGCACAAATTGGAATCTGATAAATACGATTTCTTTTAACACCAATTAACTGTCCCAGGGACGTGATGATCGATAGTGTCAAATGCTGCACTTTCATGTAGTATACACATCATCTATATTCTTTATACATGATAGTTGAGCAAAAGATTCACATACTTAATAAAAGACAAGAGCCGGAAGAAAAATAAAGTTTCATCTTGTCGTGCACGTCTCCTCTTTTTCATTCTCTATTTATTTACCCGGCTCTCCCCAGGCAGCGAGCTGAGCTGCTGGGATTATGAGATTCTGTAACATAGACGGAGATCATCCCACATATCAGTCCATCAGCATTAACATGGTGTATGTTCAAGTAAATAAAAAAACCTCTGCGCTTCACCACCCTGGCTTCATTTCAGCCCGGCCTGTCTGATAAGGCTCGCTTATTTGCATAGTAGCTGTTTGTTTGGGCAATGATAGTACGAGAGGTGTGTGTGTGTGTGTGTTTAGAATTGAAATAAAGATGAATTGATAATGAGTTCATAGATTACTAATAAAACTGTGGAGCTGTTTTGATAAAAAAGAGCTTGAACAAGCCAATACTTCACTCCTCTTCCTCTTCACTGTATATTTGTGACCATTAACTGTACATCAGGAAGTATGTGCCTGTTAAAAACAGTCATACTCACACCCATTTGTATGGGCATGTCAATAATGTGCTGCCACCCCGGTTGATGTGGCGTTAGTGGATGGCTGATGCTCAGAGCCCAATCAGCAACAATACACAGAGTGCTAGATGATATTGGAAAGCTGTCAGAGCGAGCGTAATGGAAATACATAGCCTGCTCCGAGAACACAGAGGGAGGATTTTCTCTCCTTCTCTCTCTCCCCCCTCTCTCTCTCCCCTCTTCTTTTCTTCCGCCCTCGTCCCGTCACTTCTGTGTGTCTGTTCACCTCTTTGTCACTCTTCTGTCAGTCAGGGAATTGCATTTTCCCTATCTTGAGCAGCGTGCACGAGCCGCAACGCAACAAAGCGTGATTGTGCGTTTGAGGCTGCACAGAATGGGGCGGCAGCTGCAGCGGCACTAGCTGCAATCTTTGTTCCACTGGTTATAACGTGTAGATATATGTCTGAGTGTGTGTGTGTGTCCAAAACGTAGACATCATCGTCCTATTGTTAAAAGTCTGTGGTATTGTCAGCGTTAAATGTAAAAGATCAAATATAGTCTCACCACAGGGTCGGCTCAGCTGCTGTCCTGCAGCATTCGACCATATCACGACCTTCCTGAACAGATGGAGTTTCAGTTTCGGGGACACGTTTCTAAATGTCGCATTTCTCAGAAAATAGAAGGTCCATTAAGATTTGAAAATGTACTCTCCAACTTGGAAACAGCAGTTGATAAAACAGTGTCGCCACCTGGTAAAGTAGCTTTTATGGCGCTTTTTCACATCCCAAGTTTTCGTTTATTCTTTTGACAGTTTAAACAAGAGAGATATCAAACTTGAGTTGAGTTCATTGGACAAATCTCAGAGGTTTCAACAATATTAAATTGTTAGGAACATCCACAAAAATCGATTCCCTTTTACTCTCGTCTAATTTTAGCGTGAATTGCTGGCTACTATGACCTTCTCAGGCTACCATGAATTATTCAAACACATTAATTTGACTCTGGTAACACACAAATGGTGCTTAATTTGAGAGGCGGTGTTCAGAATGAAGTGCAGCACATAACAAGCAGCAAAGTGGTACACATGTTCTAATCTTGTATCCTTCTTTTTTTAAACACTACTCGCTGGAAATAAGAGAGGAAGGTTAGCTTTCTCTATGAGCTTTTTAAGAGTCCCTTGAGTCAGAGCACCCTTACATGTGTGTTGTGAATATTTGTGCGTTTGTGTTAAAAGCTCAGTTAAGTTTAAATTTGACTTAAAAAAGTCGGCGAAGTCAAAGCTGTCTGGGAAAACCCACCATCCTCTGGTTATAATGGACTTGCTCTGCACAGCGTTGAACTCATGTAGAGAGAGGGGGGAAACGTTTTCTATTCACCATTTAAAGGTTTCACAATTATAAAGCAAACAAACGGGTAGAAACACAACCCCCTTCGGGCGAAACCAGAGGTCTTTGTGGATGATTTCTGCTGGTAACCATGGAAACCATAATCTCACCATCCTTCATGTTGTGCGTCCAGCGACTTCAGGGTAAAGTGTTTGGGCCACAAATCTGCTGATGCTCTGTCTGCGGCGTCTTGAAAAACAACGGACTCTGGTGGAAAACGCCATCAGTTCTCGTCTCGCTGCCTTTTCACCTCCTGCTGGTTTTCCTCAGGAGACTCTGTTCTGTATCAATGTTTAAAGAAGTACATGTAATTGATATATTTGTGTTTGCCTTGGATTATAGATGAAGGACCTGTTCTCCAGACACTGCTACAATAAATACCGTCAGTAGCAAATGATGACAGAGTGCCCTATGTTTCCATTGGTTTGGGACTCGGCAGGAGTGCATTCATATATATATATATGAGCAGTATATATGCACTCCTGCCGATAAGAACTTAAAGGCTCCCTCTGGACATGTAGAGTCACTCCGGTGGAAAATAACAATATAGTAGAATATCCACACAGGAACAGAGCAAATGGAGTTTATTAAATGTAATGCAGCCAACAATTACACCCGTAAACTGTGATGAATGTGAATTATAGTGTGCGTCAGTGTGCGATTATTGTGCTTACACTACAGCGGACCTGCAATCAGACCGGCTCTCGAACGTTCCACTCGTCTATGAATGGAGGGGTGTGCGAGCCGAAGGGGGGAAACAAAGGGACGCGATTGGTTGAAAAAGCAAAGCTCACAAGCCTTTTTTCCCCCCCTCAGCTCGATCACGTGTATGTTGTGTGAGTGTGTGTGTGTGTGTGTGTGTGTGTGTGTGTGTGTGTGTGTGTGTGTGTGTGTGTATATATGTCTTTTTCATATAGCAGCTCCTTCTGTATCTCTTCATCTCTCGCTTGCCGCTCGCAGGTCTAAATGAAAGCGGGGAGCAGTGGAGGGAGGAGGGAGGGTTGTGGCTCTGGGGAGAAGGAGAGTAAGAGGAGGCATGAGATGAGATCTGAGCAGCCTGGTCACGGTGCGTTGGATAACGATCGTTGGAAGTTTGAGAGGTGCAAGCGAGGCAGGAGAATCTGAGGGAATATGATAGAGAGATGGAGGGAGAAGGGGGAATTATATCAGGGAATTTTACACATGACTCACTCTCAGAAAATATATCTCTGTATTTTAAAGGTTTCCAAATGTTGATTACATGAAAAGACACGCTGCTGTTTGGACCATAGACTGAATTCACTATCATAGAGGAGGTGGGGTTTATGAGCTTTACTACAGCCGGACACCAGGCAATTGAGACGCTTTGGCTTCACTTTTGGGGAGCTGCCATTGTCCTCCATCTTTTTTATATTGTCACACCAAGTGGAAACCGTGGCGTCACCCATTGGTTCGTAATCTGCCCGTTTGGCTTTTTGTCCAAGCTTTGATGTACAGCTGCCAAATTATCCATTTATCAAACATGTAGGAACACAGATTAAATCCCTGCTGGCCTCACGTGTGCTCTCTCTTTAATCTCCCTCCCCTCCCTATCTATGGTTATCCATCATGTCGCTCTCTCTCCTTTCTACGCGTCCCTCTGCCCAATTTTCTAGTCATTACTGGGCTGTTTTCAGAGCCGCAGCACCTCAGGGACCACCGGTAGTGTGCTCTCTTTGACGGGGGTCCCCAGAGAGGCTGGAAATGGTTCATGGTTCCACTGTACACAAGAGTCTCCTCTCTGAGATCAGAGTAACCTTTAAAACTCACACTTATCTCAGAGATCTCAGGCCAGAGTGAGGCCAGATGTGATGTAGTGTAAATTAAATGGCACCTTTTAACCTTTTAATCCAGGTTACTCAGATAAATGTAACATCCCCCTTGTATCACATGACTAGGATGTAATTGGTTGAATTTTGCTTGTAACTTCGTACAACTTGTTGAGTTTGGCAATCAGGCTCTGGTCTCATCATAGTGATAATAAGGAGTGATGCCTACATTAAACCACATTTAGTAGATCCAGATTTTTATTTGTATCTGCGTCAAGTTTCACACACTCGATATTGATATTTGTCCCCAAAACATGACTGATGTTCTCATTAAGATCCATGAATTAAACTTTGAGGAAACGTCTTATCTCGCAAAACGTCAATGAAAGCGACAAATATTGTAGTTCTTCCTCAGGTCCCTCCACATAATTACATGGAAATCCTTTGGGTAGTTTTTTTGCTTAATACTGCTTAAAGTCAAATAAACATATGTGGATGAAAACATACCCTCCTCAGTGGAGGTAAAAATTCAAGGGGAGAGACTCAATTCATATCCTATACAACCACATTCAGCTTTTGACTTATGGAAGCACATGAAACCCGTTTTTAATTTCCCTCTCCTGCTTTCCTTATCTCATGTTTTTTCCCCTTTCATTCGTCCACAGAACCATGACAGGGAAACAGCGCTTCACTGTGCGGCCCAGTACGGACACTCGGAGGTCGTTTCGGTGCTGCTTCAGGAGCTGACTGACCCCACGATGAGGAACAGCCAGCAGGAGACGCCCCTGGACCTGGCAGCGCTGTATGGACGACTCCAGGTCAGTGACAATAATGTTATATTCATAGTGAGGAACTAAAATAAAAATGGGATTAAACATCAGCAAATTCATTAAATATATGCTATTAATTTTCTGGGGTCCATAAATATGCATATAAAATATGTTATATATCAAATCTGGTTTGAAACATTTAAGAAATTATCACCGTCATCATCCCTCGACTGCAAACCGTGCAGTACTTACCTGGAGGACGTTTCCTCACCTGGCTCCTGAGCCTGTAGCAGCTTGATGACCTCACAGATAAAATCATATCTGATCCTGTTAAAATTGACCATTTGATACGACCCAGAGGGGAGAAACTCAAATTTCCATTTCCTGGACGATTCAAGCCTTTGAAATGGATGAGAACTGCATGGTCATTGCAAGGGCACTGCGCCACTAATGATGTTTAATATGCAGTGAAATTTTAATTTTAACTCTGACAAAAAAGTGTGAAGCTAAAGTCAGTTAAGGTGAAACAAAAGCAATAAACTAACTGGATGTTGTGGCAAAAAAGCTTCTGATCAACTGCAACACCATCGACAGGAAGTGAATAAGTGATCGTGTCCTCACAGGGGCGCCTGTGAAAGGCTGAGGTAAAATACTAGGCAGCGAGTGAACAGTCAGTTCTTGAAGCTGAAGTGTTGGAAAACAGTGCGAGTGTGAAACCCCTGCATGCATTATGTCTCCTGGCGGACCTGGTCGCTGGCAGGTGAAAAGCAGCAGCTGGCAACTTCATCTGCATTTTCCTGCCGGACCAGAGTGCATGTCAGTCGGTCGTTCCACACCGAGAGATGCCGGTGATTATTTTGGAAATAAGAGCAGAGAAAAGAAAAGTCATCCTCATACACCTTTTTATAACTGCGTCTTTACTTTTGTGACAAGCACCGAGAGGAGTCTGCTGCAAAAGCCTGCCAGCGTTCTAATGCACGCACACATCCTCTCTGATGAGTAATTGCAGTCAAGCCATACAGGTTTGTCTGAGTGTGAATGAATAATTTATAAAGGCTGCACGGATTCCTCTCTCTCTCTCTGCATAATAATGAAGGGAAATCCCTGTGGTGGAAGCTACTGCTGTGTGCAGATGTAATTTACACAGGGCAAAAGTTTAGTACACACACACACACACACACACACAGGAGGGAGCTTTCGAGAGATCTTCTTCTTGTTGAGCTGAGCTATTAAAAGCACCATCCAGGATTAAAATGAAAAAGTAGCTGCACCGCCTCAAACAACCTCCTACTACACTCAAGTTGATTGACATGTACTTTAATTAAACATTCAGTAAAAACAGATTTATGATCGATAACTTATTTCCTACTGTGTGTTGAGTTTTTTTTAAGCCTTTAACTTTCCCCTCACACATTTCATTTACTTATTATTTATTTACTTACTCAAAAATTCATAATCATGAGTGGGCACTGATTTCACCTACACTTTAAGAAAGGTGATTAAAAACAATGTCTGCATCTGCCCCTTTAACTGGACCTGCACCAGAATGTAATGGATTCTCTCCTGGCTTGTTTCCCATGTTTCCATTAAGTTTGCTGGTTCTTTATTTTTTGTGCAATCACGTAATGGACAAACAAACCAGCAAACAGGTGAAAACATAATCTACTTGGCGGAGGTAGTAAAGAACAGACGGGACAGTTTAATTAATTTCTTATACTAAATCCAGAGATTTACATGACTGCTTTACTTGGTTGGTTGCTGAGCTGCTGTTCGAGCAAGATTGTAGATTAAGGAGTGGATATCTGGTGAAACCTATTTGTCATCTACTATTTCTGTTTTCTCTAGAATCAAACTCTGAAGTCGAGTGATTATTTTGTTTCCTCTTGTATTGCTGTTTTGTCATTGGCGTCTTTATATATTTCCGTGCAGGTTGTGCGCATGCTGGTGAGCGCTCACCCCAACCTCATGACCTGCCACACTCGCCGACACACTCCGCTTCACCTGGCCGCGCGGAACGGACACCACAGCACGGTCCAGACGCTGCTCGAGGCCGGCATGGACGTCAACTGTGTGGTAGGAAATCTCTCATTTACAGATTTAAGCTGTTGGTGTTCTATTCAAGCACTTCACAGGTTTTTGACACAACTTGTTTCAGCCTTTTACGGATAGAAATTGCAGAATTACAAGAATATTGATATTGTTTTTACATTTTTGACATAGAACAATGGTTTGGTCACTGATGATGATCGCTGTAATTTAGTATAAGCTGTATCTTTGTCCACGGATATCAACAGCTGGTGTTCTTAAGCACAAAGTGGCTCTGACTGACAATATTTTTTTAATTTATTGTTATTTATTTATCACTTCTGTTCGTCTCTCTCTCTGTGGTTTCTACGTTCTTTCCCCCTGTTAAAAGCATTTCCTTGTAGTTTTCCCTTATTCTCGTCAAGGGTTGAATTGTATTTTTGAATATGGGCTGTACAAATAAAGTTTGGATGATTAATTGATTTGATTTTGCTTGGGGCCCCCGATGTCCCTTGAAACCTTCACATTTGAACATTTCCAAACATATGTGGCAATAGTTTATAGAAACATGCTCCATACTGTGGTTTGTGGGAAACTGTCTCTTTATATGATTTTGATTTCCAGATACATAAACAAGTTAAATAAGCACATTTTAACAGTTAAGTCCCATTTGTTGAAGAGAACAGAAAAATAAAATGTATGTCCTTCTAGTTGGTTTTATTATCTGATGAACCTGCGAGTGGAGAAGTGACCGGAAAGATACGTCTGTTCTGTTTTGTCCCTCCTCCCCTCGTCTCTGCTCTTTGTGAATATTTCCAAGGCCACTGTCTTTGTGTGTTTAATGAGGGTACAGTTTTTTGTGTGTGTGTATAATCCACCACAGGCTTGGCAGATTTGAAAGTGTGTCTGTGTGTTAGAGAGCATATGCGGCGCATGCCTCCCGTGGTGTGTTGGTGGGATGAATAATTGATTGAGAGGAAAGACTGAGACTGCAGGAGGAGGAGGAGGAGGAGGAGGAGGCAGGGGACAGGGTATTCCTGACAGGTCCTCAAGAGTTCACTGTGTTCATTATCTTTTTACGTCAACAGTCCCGAAAACACAGAAATGCACATTTAAAGTGTGCTGCTTCTTTCCTGCTCTCCTCTTCATTCATTTCCATGTTACTGTGCTCTCCGGTCGTTGATTTGATTTTGTGAAGCCCTGTCAAAATGTGGCCACGCTTTGCTGCTTTCTTTAACATAGTTTCCTTTTCTTCAGATGGATTTTCTTTGACAAACTCAAATACTTAACTAACTTATCTTAAATGTGTAGAAAACAACCTTTAGCAGTTCCAATCAATTTCCTAAGACTAATTCTGTTGAATACTTCTCAAATGACAGAAACCATCTTTGAGAAAAACTTGTTTAATGTGTATTATGACTATTTCATTTGGTCCGTGTCCAACCCACTAACATGTAGGGGTTTATGATTTATACATTAGCCAGCCACCAGGGGGCTACCAAGAGGATTTCACATTAAGAGAGCTGTCATGGCGTCCATCTTTATATATATTCAATGGTTGATACTTCCACACGTAAAACCTGCAATTACCTGAATCCACCACCCGTCTCCAGTACTCTCTGCACTGATCTGAAAGTCTTGTTTGACGCTTTGATTCTTTAATCGTGTCGGTGTTGTTCAGTGATCGTTGAGGATTGAAGGAAAAGCAGCTTCAGGGGTTTCAGGGCTCTGTCAGACTCAAAGCCTCAGGAAGCTGCTGGGTCTAGATACAAAAAATAAAAAAACCAGGACAGTTGACGTGCTGAGGAGCCGCAGAGGCGAGAGTGATCAATACCAGGGTTTGACTTCATAAAGAAAACTGTGGAGGTTTCATTACTGTACAGTTTGAGGTAAATGTGGGACGATATGTTCACTCCGACTGCTGCCAAACTCTGACTCTGACTCCTCGTTCATTTATTACAACAACATACGCCATAACAGATGCTACATTTTCCCTTTTCCTGACCGTGTAAGTCTTGTTTATAGAAACAATATGAAGCATGAAATGGTTTTCTCCGTACAGTTACAGAAACTGTGTGACAGCGACAAAACAAATCTGCTGAGGAGAATACTTTATCAGATTCAGCCCCTGGCCTCCAGAATACAGTATGTTCAAATCTGTCAGAAACATATTGCAGCAGTGTGTGTGTGTGTGTGTGTGTGTGTGTGTGTGTGTGTGTGTGTGTGTGTGTGTGTGTGT